AGATGCGTCGAATCCTGAGCCTTTATACGCTTGCGAGCTTTAAAAATAACGATGCTTTGTATCCAGTGTAGTTTGGATGTGCGGAAAAATTTATAGCCATTTTTGTATAGAATATCGATGACAAACGAGCACACAGTCTACTTGATAACAATCAAAACGCAGATAAGTTGTCACCCCTAAGAACTAAGATGGAATGCCTCGTTTCCAGTAAATAAGAGTCTCTGGATCTCTACGCTCACCATATGAAACACAAGAGTATTGAGCTATTTTACGCTGGGGTTCTGTGAGAACGTGAGTAATTAGAACAGTCAAAGTTTTGAGATTTCAATGCCTCTAGAATTTAAATTGGACAACCGATGTAGAAAGAATATTCCTGAGTAGCGACATCGTATAGGCCTCGTATCGATGGAGTGACAACCTATTAAGACATGCAGGAAGTCGATGGATGTAGGTAGCTTAGGACCGTGGTTTATGTCGTTCCTCGAAGGAGGCCTTTGCTCCGCAGTGGACTTGTGAAGGGTTGTAATGATGTTTGAATGATGGTGATAATAATATATTAACTAAACATTAGATCTACAATTTTATTTTTATTAAACATTTATTAAAATAAACTCATAGATTCTCTTATAGATCTTTATAGCCTATTAAAAAATCAACTGCTGAACATAGGCCTTCTTCATGGATTGCGCCATAATGAGAATATTTTCCATAGTTGCCATGTAAAAAACTAGCTAGCTAACTATAGCTATCTTAGGCTAACTATTGTATCCTTTACCCTTCCTTTTAGATTTTAAAATTTAAATTACGTTTTCATAGAATTTTTAGCCTGGGGATATGACTCAGACACAGGTGCGACCAGTCCGATTTCCGGTTGTCCATTCCTCACTTTGTCTTTTTACTTTAGTATCGATTTGTTTTTATTTTGGTTAACCTAAGGTTCACTTTTAACCATTACGCAATGAATGAAAAGAAAGTGTATTTCTTTAATGTTCGACTTTACTGCGCATCGTAGGTTTATACAATGCATAGTTAAAAAAATGGGATTAAAAATGACGCCTCTATTCACATCTCGCTTGCACACCATCGCCATCTGTAGTCACACCCGCCGGTAAAGACTGCAAAAACAATATGTTGCGATTTGCTTATTCGTTTGTTCTATAACTTTAATCCAAATTTTCATTGGAATCAATGTTAACAAAATGCCATAAACTACAAAAAAAGAATTCAGTTTGGTTTTGCGAATTTGTAAGTATGACACGTTATGAGAGTTTTCTTTATAATTATTGTTGAGTTTGTTTGTTAATATTTTTGCATAAATTATTTACATGCCATTGACACATGAGTAACTAATTTTTAAAATTTTGGTTTGTCTGTCTGTCCGAGCTAATCTTCGGAATGGCTGAACCGATTCTAGTAAAACTTTACGAACAAATAGAGAGCAATACCAGGAGTGATCTGGACTAAATTTTATCTGACAAATTTAGACATTTTATTAAAATAGAAGTATTTATAAGATTAAATCAATGGTCTTTAATGATTATCTTAATTTTAAATAACGCCACATCAATAGATCACACCCAGGTGAAGCCAGAGCGATAGCTAGTTATAAATGTAATTTTAAAATTGATGGATCTACTTTGCGTATACAATTCTTTTCAAATGTTTTCCCATTAACTGAATAATATAACTTTATAACGATATATTGTTGCTATTGTTACTGTGTTTGTTAACGGTACGGAGTCGATGAGTCGCCATTTCCAATCCCATTCTTTATACGTACAAACTGTACACAATTGTATCAATGTGGTAACGTAAATAATAAAATTATATTTTATATTTGTAGTCGTAAACAGATAATTCAAATTTTGTATTAAATAAAAGTAATAGAGATTTTGAAAGGGAATAAACATGTTATGGAATAAGCATTAAATGCAGCTTCTTTGTTAACGTGTAAGAGTTTTTGTAGTGTATTATTTTAATTGAGTACTAGCACTTATAGTAAATATAATAAAATTTCTTTATTCACCGAGTAATACTAGTAATAGTAATAGTTAATTAATAAATAGAAAATAAGAAAATAAACATTTTTGTATAAAGATCAGTACGCAAACACTGCGGAGAGGAAACAGTTAACGCTAAAGAAATCCTAAAAGTTGATTTAGTCAGCGTGAAAATATTTTCATCAAATTGATTAGTTTCACCAAGCCTGCATTGAAATTGATGTCGGACCGACGCTCCGATTAAATATTAACCATAAAACTTAAGTTTCTACTGTAAAATATTTTGCTAGTCACCGCGTATGTGCTACTTTTTGGAAGGGAACGATGTTGTAAATCTCTAAATTTTTAATCTTTCGATTGAAATTAAACTTTTAGTCTTCAAAAGCTACATGATAGAACCAAATTATGATATTAAAACAATATAACTTATATTATTTCGTTTTCTACCACAATTTATTAATTTTGAAATATATTAGTGTCATCAGTATATAAAATGTCAGCTGTTAGACAAGCACCTTTCACACAATTGGGAGAATTTGTTACAATCTTCATGCTTGGCGAGTTAGACGGTCGCAGTACCACAAAATTTGCGCTGTCATAGATTTAGGTATCGAATCTTTATTTTGTGTGAACCAAAACAAAAACCAAAATAACCTTGCTTTTTACTCATTCCATGGGAGTGAGAAAGGGGGAAAAAAGGGGGAGAAAGGATCAAAAAATAAATATTTTATTTTTTGATCCAGAGTACATGTAGGTAGAGTGGCCAGATGGTCGGGATTCGTCTGGATTATCCTTCCGACATTTTAAATGATCTTCAGACTCCCGACAAAATACAAAATTTCCGGACAAACAGCTCCTCGGAAAATTAATTATACGTGGTAGAGCCATGCTGCAATTATATTAGTAGTATAGTTGTAGCACAAATGGGTCGGCTCGACCGGGGAAGGACCACGCTCTCACAGAATACAAGCGTAAAATAGTAGCTTAATGCTGCTATGTTTCGTATGGTGAGTGTAGAGAACCGGAGACCCTTTTTACTGGAAACGAGGCATTCCATCTAAGTCCTCACGGGTGACCATGCATATGCATTTTGATTTGTAATCGAGGATAGATGTAGATGTCTATGGACCACAGCAACCACTTACCATCAGGTGGACTGTGTGCTCGTTTGTCAACCTATCCTATAAAAAAATATGTGTGGCGTTTGAGTTGAGTTTAGTAATTTGACTAACCTTTGTTATAATTTTTAATATTTTTTGAATATTACTAAAGGATCTAAATTAGTGGACTCAGTAAAGTCCAATGCCATATGCACTTGGTAACCTAAACATTATGTGCGCTTAAATGAGTTTGTTGAAAGTACTTTTTGTAGCTCCTCTTAATTATAAAAAAAAAACTACATTTTCATATTCATTTCGCCGACAACAACCCCAAAATCACAAATTTTCAAAATTTGTCCAGATATTTTGGTCTACCTATCTGGCAAAGCTACATGTAGGTGTACATGGTCCACTGCATTTAATTAACTGACTGCCTCTTTTGTCTTGTGGTAGTAAGCGTGACTGCTGATCATGTGGTCCCCGGGTTCGAATTCCGGGTCGTGCCAAGAACGGTTTTAGGTTTTTTTTGTCAAGAAATGTTCTGTAGGAATTCAAAGTCAGGAAATTGGCGTTGCTTCACCCCCGTGTCTTGGAAAGGACGTAAAGCTGTCGATTCTGCGCTTGATCCCTCTCCAAGCCATGTCGGATTGCCATCTCATTGAACTATGTGAGTAAAGAAATAGAGATTGCACATGCGCTTGCGCACACACTCGTATAATAAAATGCTGTCCTGCGCAAATGGCAGACTGGGCGCCGTGACGGAAATTCGGTCAGGAGGACATCATTGTAATATTGTGTCTGACTAAAATGATAAATATTCTAATTATGGTAGCATTATTCATTATTATTACTTATTAAGTTTTGGTGCAGGGTAGGCGAAAGAACGTCGACATTTCCAAAAGCTGAAACGTTTGTTTTGGTGTTGCTAAAATAAATAGGAAACGTGTCAGTCACGTCAACATTCGGTGCAGTTTAGTTACTGATACATTTGACGAGAACCCACGAATGGGGCTGCGATATTATAGGAAAAGAAAATTCAGAAATATACTTAAAATGTAAAGTTGTAAAAATGGTTTATATTTTATTAATACATTGTTTATAATATTTTTATACGTTGTATTTATCTTAGTCTCAAAAAGATATTAATATCATTATAATATTGACATTTTTCATCATGTTCAACATAACAGTTAAAAAAATAAAAAAATAAAATTTGAAATAAATAGTTTTTTTTTGCTTCTTAATCTAAAGCTTGTCCTCAGCTTACGACTAAATATTTGCCAATGTCGATGCCCGAATTATTGACTTTAAATAATTGGTACACGAATCGATTTTAATTGATGAAGTTAGTTGAACGTCTACTGTTCTCTTAAATAATAGTTCAGATAGCAATTGAATGCTAGAAGCGACATTTAATTAAGTTCAATAATTTATTTAGTGAAAATTAGTTTACGGGGCCGATTTAAATTTCACAAGTTAGTGAGTTTACCACATACAATTAAAAACGTGTTAAATAAGTACATAAGCTGTATATAAAGTAAATACGTGCTAGCATATATCTATTGGAAATAAATTTTTCATATATTTCTGGCTTACAGTGAGTAATGATCACGATATACCTAATTTAAAATAAGTTAAAATAAACGCGATGAAATCCGTAAAATTTGTTGTATTTAATGTGTTGTTTTCATGGAAATTTAAGAAATCTTTAATCTCAAACAAGCAAATTGTTATGAAAATAAAAAACAAAGAATTTTAAGAACTGTTAGGAAATTAAACTAATATATTCCATATTGTAGTATAATTTAATATATTTGGATTTTGGAATGTACTGCGTGCTGTGTTCATGACGAGAAAGGGCATACGCATAATGTCTATTTGTTATTTTAATTTTCGTACAATGGTACAATTTTGTGAAGATATGTATGTACATGTATAATTGACTTTAAATAAGGTCGTCCAATATCATCTGGTGGGTTTCGTAAGAGGCGACAGAGTGAAACTAAAACGGAAGATGGGCAACAAGTTGTTCCTTATAATAACTGAAAATAATAGAACAAACTGCGGTTGCCAATCTAGGCGGATTCCAATCGAGGATCCAAGCGCAGCAACTATTGCAACTCTTTCCTAATAAGGCAATTAATGGGAGGGGCCTACGTTCAGTTGTTGTTTTTTATAGGAGAAAGGGCAAACGGGCATGCGGCTCACCTGATGTTCAGTGACTACCGCCGCACATGAACAACTGCAACACCAGGGGAATCGCACGTGCGTTGTCAGCCTTTTAGAAAGAAGTAAGTATAGGCCTCAATAGATGGATTTGTGTATGTATATGTGTATATTTATGCATGTTATAAAAATATTATGTTAATAATAATATGACTGCCTCGTTGGTCTTGTGGTTGTAGTAGTGCGACTGCTGATCATGAGGTCCTGGGTTCGAATCCCAGGTCGGGGATCAAAATCAATTATTGACTTTTTCCGTCAAGAAATTCTCAATAGCTGCCCAAAGTCAGGAAGTTGGTGGTGTCTCACCCCCGTGCCTCGGAAAGCACGTAAAGCCGTTGATCCTGCGCATGATCACTCTCCGGTCGTGTCGGTTTACCTTCCCATCGGATTATGAGAGTGAAGGAATAGAGAGTGCACCTGTGCTTGCGCATACACTTGGGCACTATAATCCTGTCCTGCGCCGATGGCTAGCCTCCGTTGAGGCAGGCCGCCGTGGCCGAAATTCGGTCTGGAGGATTATTATTATTATTAAAAATATTATACATACTAGCTGATATCCGGCACGTTGCTTCCGGTTAATTAAATATGGTAGAGTTATATTGTTTCATTAGAAATGCTAAATACAGTAATTGAAATTGAATGATCTATAACTTTCATACAAATTATCGGTACGATATGCGCGCCACCTTGTGTAAGTTATTTGTACTATGCCTATAACCTTCGCGCAAGTGCAAGCAATAAGTTGACAAAGTTTTATCGAAATCTGATAGACGGTATGGTAGTGCATAATATACGTACAAACAAACATTAATTTTAATATATGAGATTAGCAATTTATACATATTTATTACATTTCATTTGTATAGTATGTATCAAAAATATATTGCACCATCTACCTTGACTTGTAGCTATATTTCTTTCGCTTTTTATTGCCTAGCGCTATTAACGATAAGGCCGCAAACATAGAATTATTACGTATAGCTATGGCCGCCAAATTGTATACTAACTTGCATTTTCAGCGTTTTCTGTTACTTTAGTATATTCATCATTCATTTATAACGTATATTTTCAGTTTTATAAACCTAATAAAAATGTACTCATGTGATATTTATTGTACACAATACATTTTCGACGAGTTGAGGTCCGCTATATTTATATTTTTATACACCTCATACAGTCCATGTTACCTGTATGAAATTGTAGAGGTATGGAGGACTCTTTGTGTACCTATAGAATATAGCGGTAAAATTCCCAAGTTTAAAAGAAAGCGCCAAACAACGGAGAAAGATCTTATATGCGTCTTCTTTAAACTTCGTTGTACTTCTGCAGCAACATTTGTGTCATATTTATTACATATTTATTACATAAGACACTCTTCGATCTGCCAACACAACATCTTCGACTTTTTTCACGTTGTCTTCAGTGAGGGACGTGGATGGGCGTCCTTTGCGATGTTCATCTTCAGTGGATGTTCTGCCCAGTTTAAACTCCCAGGCCTGCGTGCAATTGTAGAATATGGAGGAGCAGAGTCCCCCAATGTTTCCACTAAGTTACTGTGTATGTCTTTTGAAGACATTTTTTTTCAAACAGAGGTACTTGATGACAGCTCTAATTTCGTTTTTCTCCATGTTGATGTTATCTCTTTGATAGTTCGTATTCAAATGAATGTATCTCCCTGGGGGGGGGCTCCAGTGGGTTGCCTTTTTTTCGGAAATCGTGGTCTATTTATATGATTTTTAGGCTGACGTAGTGAGATAAGCAAGCAAAAAATATTTTTTTTTTGGATTTTTATGCGGACCTGAAGTAACCGATTATCATTACTTTTGGATCACCCCTCGTATATCCCTAAAAAATTACCCTTCTGGGTTTTCCCGCAGTTAGGTCAATTGGTTCCATCTTTTTCTTATTCATCAGCTTGTAAAAGTACATTGATGGAAATGTTTCTCTTCCGGTAAGGAGGATTTGCTCTAGTTTTACTTGGTAGAGTCACGCTGCAGCTATATTATGGTTGCAGTACGAATGGGTCGCCTCTATCGGAGTAGGACCACGCTTTTACGAAATACCAGCGTAAAATAGCAGGTTAACACTGCTGTGTTTCGTATGGTGAGTGTGTGGAACCGGAAACCTTATTCACTGGAAACGAGGCATTTCTTCGCAGTCAGAGGTGACAACGCATCTTCATTTTGAATCTTAATAGAAGATAAATGTGGATAATGATTTCTTATATTTACGCGAACACTACACGTTTAAATAAATGTGGATGTCTATGGGCCACAGCATCCACTTACCATCTGGTGGCCTGTGTGCTTGATTATTACAGATTTGCGATCACAGTGTCTTTGAAGCTGCTGTCTGTCGTCAGCTGAATATTTTAAGTCTGGCGTAAACGAGATGGCTATTCCGCAATCTATCAGAAGCCATGAGATTTTTCCATAGTTTTTCTTACCACACTCACGGGATTTAATGAGGTGGTGGATATCCTTACGCCGTCACAACAGCAAAATAGGGACCATAATAACTATTCTTGTATTATCATATAATAACTATTTTCGTTTGTAAATAGTAAACTCTCACACTCATTATTAAAGCTTAGTATTATCATTAGGTAACCTAGATTTTTCCTCTGGTTAGCAAGGTTTTTGTTCCGTAGCGCGTTATGCTAGAAAAGATAATTAGGTAGCTATTTATTCGAGACCTCCTTTTCTTCAGCCCGTACAATATCCTACTGAATAAAATAGCATTAGCTATCTCACATTGTGATAGTTTCCTTTATATTATTATGTATTTAATATTTTAAATATCATATGGTTTAGAAAAAGTGTTAGTAAATCGTGTATTTTAACCGAATTCAAAATAGGAGGTGGTATTTTTATATTTTTTATATATGTATGTTTTGACCTTCCTATAAATCGGTAATGACGATAAACGATTCAAAGAATTCTTTATTTTATTAAGTTGGCTATATCTCAATAACCCATTTCAGTATAAAGAACAAATGCTTACTTTCAGGTCTAGTGGAATACTATAGGATAAAGTTTTTTTATAGTAAACATTTAGACGACATTGTGAAATAGTTATTATAACCTTGGGTTACTTATATTGCTTAGTTCACTCAAAAGGGTAAAATATGAACTTTTAATAAGAAGTAAAAATCGAATACAATAACTAAAAATAATAAAATCATTAATAATTAAGTAGGTTCAACACCGATTTCAGAAGCTATTAAGCGGAAATAATTTTATCCCTTTTACCCCTTTTACTGGAAAGAAGGCGGCGTTCCATCTAAGTCCTCAGGGGTGACAACGCATCTGCATTTTGATTTGTAATCGAGGATAAATGTAGATGTCTATGGACCGCAGCAACCAATCAGGTGAACTGTGTGCTCGTTTGTTACCCGATCCTAAAAAAAAATCTTTAAATTTATTTATTTAGATTGTATATATCAATTATAATCCGAAGAGATCATTTTAAAATTTACATTAGTAACATAATTTTATGTTTCTTTTTTGCTTTGATAAAAAAACTAATTTCTAATAATTTTTAAATGAGATGTTTCGATACTAAAAATATTTTAAGGAAGTTTTATGTTTCTCCGTCCTGGAAATAAAAAAGTATTTTAGCTTATACAGCCATGAACGTTATCAAAATGCCTATTTTAAATTAGTAAATGGTTTGGTATGTGAAAATGATGTGTGCACATTTTTTTGGCAACATATCTTGCCGTCGAGTAATATGTTACATTTATTCCTCTCTTTTAATAACATTAAATACTAAAAAGATAACAAAAATTTTCTATGTCCACGTTTTTAAATATTATAAGTGTAAAGTTCACTTTTAGATTAACAAAATAAACTCGGATTTAAAAGATTTACACAGATTTATTCCGCACAAGTTACTCTCTTGGAGGTTACAACACGAATGGCCCTGTCTATGGAATGAACAAAGAATATATAACTATCATATACAGGAAAGAATGAATGAACTAATCCTAAGATCCGCTATAACAGTTCTCAAAGACAATTGGTCATAGATAAATGCGGTATCGATATTTATATCGATACTTTGCCCTTTTTAAACAATATCGATTTATATAGCAAATAATAATAATAAGTTATCATTACAAAGGCGTAAATAAATAAATCATTCAATATAATCACCCTTTAAATAATATGTATGTTAACAACTCGGCCATCCTCCAACAAGTGAGTCCTCTCACTTGATCTATTACAAAGATAACATAATTGGTTTCGTAAAATTTACATTATAATATGTAGAAATGTTATACAATTTAAATAGTAATACAGCTAGTGCTTATACCTTATATAAATAGGAAGGCAAGTGTGAAAAATGAAACGCTAAGTAAATAAATGAACACTACATATTGGCGTAGTCTGTTACGATCTGCAACCATCTGTGAACAGTTTTCACTGATTGCTCGCAACCAAGCCGTTAACACTCATGCATAGTCTGCTATGATCTGCGATCATCTGTGAGTTCTTTTCACTGATCGTTCATAGCCTATGTCATTTTATAGAAGTATACAGTCTGTCATGATCTGCGATTATCTGTGCGACAACACTAACCGCTCATGACCCATACACATCTATTACATCTTTTATCACTACAGAGTAGTCTACTTCGATCTGTAACCTTCCGTACTTTTACACTAGTTATTCCTAAGTCTAAGGTTAACCACCATTTTCAAAACGACAAAATGACACAAATACATAAAGAAATTTATAAAATATGATTTTTTAAATTATTTAATCTACACTTATCAGTCATTTTATAGAAGTGTACAGTCTGTCATGATCTGCGATTATCTGTGCGATAACACTAACCGCTCACGACCCATACACATCTATTACATCTTTTATCACTACAGAATAGTCTACTTCGATCAGTCACCTTCCGTATTTTTATCATACACTAGTTATTCCTAAGTCTAAGGTTAACCACCATTTTCAAAACGACAAAGTGATACAAATATATAAAGAAATTTATAAAATATGATTTTTTAATTATTTAATTTACACTCATCAGTCATTTTATAGAAGTGTACAGTCTGTCATGATCTGCGATTATCTGTGCGACAACACTAACCGCTCACGACCCATACACATCTATTACATCTGTCATCACTTCAGAATAGTCTACTGCGATCTGTAACCATTCGTATTTTCATCATACACTAGTTACTCCCTAACTCTTAGGTTAATCACCATTTTGCAAACAACAAAATGACACAAATACATAAAGAAATTTATAAAATATGTTTTTTTTTTAATTATTTAATTTACTCATTACTTTAGTCGGTACCATTGTCATAATCACTATGGTCGTTCTCGCTTCCGCTTGAGATCTCTTTATAATTTAACCAAGGATGTATTTTATCCAGCGCTACTACGTTTTCGTATCGTCTTTTCCCTTTTCTCGATAAAGGTGTATCCTCAACAAGAAACCTATCATTCGGTAGTAATTTCTTAATCCTGTACGGGCCATTGAATTTTGGTAATAATTTTTTTTGATTTACCTAAGTGTTCTCTATCAACGACTGTTCTCTCAATCCTAATTAAATCACCTTCTTTATACTTTGTTGCGTGCTTCCTTCGTTCATCAAAAGCCTTTTTTGAATTTTCTTGTTGCTTCTCTATTCTATCACTCGCTGCGGATCTCATTTCCACTAATTTTTCTCCTTGTGTATACTCAGTCGTTGGACTTATAACATCTCCGAGGATAGTCTCTGAAACATTCATAAGTTTATAACCAAATAATAAATCTGAGGGACTTTTGCCAGTTGCTCTGTTCACAGTTGTGTTCATCCCTAACTGTATATCAGCGACATACTCATCCCAGATGTTATCATTCTTACCATGACATTTAGTACTTAAAGCATCCGTTATCGTCCTATTATACCTTTCTACTTGTCCATTGGCCCTCGGTGTGGCAACTGCGTTTAATATATGTTTCAAAGCTAAGCCCTTCGCGGACGACTTAAATTTTGCGCTCGTAAAGCATGTACCTCTATCTGTTATTAGTCTAGATGGGACTCCAAAATAACTAAAATGTTCGCGGAATATTTTAATTGCGGTTGTGGATTTTGTGTTTCTAACCGGTTTAATGTTTATAAATTTTGTAAAAACATCTACAATAACCAAAATATAAGTATTGCCTCTTCGAGATCGTACGAAAGGGCCTAAATGATCGGCATGTATTGTATGGAATGGTACTTCAATTTTGGGGATAGGATGAAGCATGCCTTCTTTCCTTCCACCCGGGGCCTTATGATGCGCACATTCAAGACACGATGTTACGTATTTTTTTGTGAAACGCCTCATTTTGGGAAACCAGAACATACCTTGCAGACGACTAATAGTCTTATCAAAACCGAAATGTCCTACTTCGTCGTGGTTCATTCGTAATACTTGCCACCTTACTGATCTTGGAACTACCCAGCGGATACAATCATCAACTATACGGTAAACATGATCTCCTTTCAACTGAAAATTTTTATAAATGTCTGCAACAGATTTCGTGCGACTATCTTGCAGTACCTCCTTAATGCCTTTAATTTCATCATCATTACTCTGAACTGTAGCGATCCAGTCCTTTACATCAATTTGTAAAATATCGATCACCGTACCATTTACATTAACTTGCATTTTGTATTTACTATCGTATTCGCTATTAAGCTTTAGTTGCATGACGTTTTTCTCATGTAAACTATCACTTTTATTTTTGGAATCTGTTTGAACCCTTGTACACTTTTCGGCTAAGTGGCCTAACCTATCGCAATTCGTGCATTTTACAGTCTTTTTCGTGCATTTATAACTATAATGCCCCGATTCGTTACAGTTATAGCAAATAATATTCGAATTAGATGTAGTACGCGACTGCCTCTGACTAGTTAATGGGGTATTATTAGCGAAGGCTGTTTTTTTATCTTGAACGCTCCTTCCCTTATTGTAATCACGGGGTTGCTGTTTAATTGACTGAAAATATTCTAAGACTTGTTCAGGTTCCTGGCATTTGGCAGCCTTAGCTCCCAACCTAACCAAACGATCTTCTATACCATAAAGAATGCAATCCACGGCACGTTTACCTTCGATCTCGCAACGGTTTAATAAATTTAATTTTTCGTAATAATAAAGCTCTAGGGACTCGTTATACCTCACTCGTTTAGACAGCATTTCAGTCAACAATTCGGCATAATCGTCACTACTGGGAAAGGATTCAATAAGTTTTGTTTTCCAATCAGACCACGAGAACGACATAGTGGGTAACGCTTGGTACCATATTCTTGCTACCCCCCGACAGCTTAGGTATAGCATAATGTATGATTTGGTCATCACCCCATTTATATAACAGCACACTCGTCCACTTTATTCAACCACATATGTACTGTTTGACTTTTAATCATAGGATCAAATTCGGGCACCACATTGCCTAACGTAGGAAACTTATTACCATCAGGGCGGGTAGATGACAAACATTTTACTAACTCGGATAAGATATGTAATGTACTATCGCTACCTGCTTCAGTCGATGGTTTGCGACGCGACGTTTCTGTTCCTTCAGACACACGAGGCTGGGGATTCTCTTGTAGATCACCACGATGACGCTTACGGGATCTACGTTCGCGTGTACAACCACCCGCCGATTCGCGACAAGGAGTTCCGCTCCTAGTTGGAGTTGATGTGCGACAATGACGTCTTCCACTTTCACTTAATCTCGCGCGTTGACGACGAGTGACATTATCTTGACGGCTTCCATCTGAGTCCGTAGAATGTGTATTACGTCGCCTTTTGTTCGATTCTTTGTCACGGCGATTTTTATGATGTTTCTTATGCTTGGATCTACTTTCTGATTCACGGTGAGAATTTCTTCTCTTACGATGACGTGATCGTGACTTCCTACGACCATCGTCGTTTTCTATGTATTTCGTTATTCATATTTTTTAATTGTCTTAAAAATGACGTGGAAAAAAAAACGTAATTACTTGAATTTTAGTATAAATACACTATGGGTCTTGTTTATCCCACTTCTGAGATGTAAAGTTCACTTTTAGATTAATAATATAAACTCGGATTTAAAAGATTTACACAGATTTATTCCGCACAAGTTACTCTCTTGGAGGTTACAACACGAATGGCCCTGTCTATGGAATGAACAAAGAATATATAACTATCTTATACAGGAAAGAATGAATGAACTAATCCTAAGATCCGCTCTAACAGTTCTCAAAGACAATTGGTCATAGATAAATGCGGTATCGATATTTATATCGATACTTTGCCCTTTTTAAACAATATCGATTTATATAGCAAATAATAATAATAAGTTATCATTACAAAGGCGTAAATAAATAAATAATTCAATATAATCACCCTTTAAATAATATGTATGTTAACATAAGTATGTAAATCTCACTATAACTTAGTTACCTCACTAAGAAACCTACTGTCTGCTGTCGCATCGATCACATTAGCGGAACTAATAATTGTCATTTACCTAATCGTGTAATCGTATGTTATGACTTGTAAGCGGATTTATCCAGCTTAGTGTTGAATCATAGATAATAGCGATTGATCGTAAATCAACAGCAACAAATTACAATAACTGCGATAAATTATTACTACTAGTGAACCGCACTATGATAAATAGTAATTACTACTGAACTGTACCACTGTGTAACTTGTGGTATATTACTGATTAAAGATGATTTGAGTGAACTTTCTTGAAAATAACAAAAAAAAATTTTTCTTGTAATAATGTAAATCATTGTTTACGGAAGAAGGCAGCTCTATACTTTTTAAAAAGTAAAAAAAAATCAAGATATAATACGTTGCCATGTTTTAAGTACATTATATTTAAACTAGAATTTAACATGGTGTTTGCATTTATAATGTCGAAGGTTTTTTTGGAATAGGGGTATCACAGAGTCCACCTGATAGTAAGTAGATGCTGTGGCCCATAGACATCTAAAATACATCTGTCTTTGATTAAGAATCGAAATGCAGAAGCGTTGTTACTCCTGAGGACTAAGATGGAATGCCTCGTTTCCAGTAAAAACTGTGTTTTGCTTTCTACACTCGTACAAAGCACTGCAGCAAAGCTGCTATATTATATTGAAATATAAAATCTCTAATGAACTATGTTGTTGCAGAAACGGACCAGTGGAGGGCGCGTATGGTTCGCAGCACAGTCCGGTATCGCGCTCGGACGCTTCCACCGAGGACGCGGAGCTGTCTGCCGCACTCGCTCACCAGCATCACCTCGCTATGCAGGTATCAACATTTTAATAAGTACTATACATATATGTACTATTTGGTTTCCGCCGGAAACTACTGAAGTTTATTTGTTGCACTATTTGTTTATTTGTTGTGTGTATTTACACACGGGATCTTTAGCAAGGGAAAACGTTTTGAGAAAAAAATATTCCTGAAATATAAAATATATTGTGATTATATTTTTAATTAGCGTCGGGGATATTTTCCTCTCTGTTTCATTACCATTACTAGTAATATATGTACAATTCGATTCCCGCTGGAATTTACTGAAGTATATTAATCGCAATATTTACTATTGATACACGTGCCTTTCAGCGAGGGAAAAGAATGAGGAAAATATTTATTTCTGAAAAATAAACTATATTTTGATGATATTTTTAATTAGCAATCAAGCATCGGGGGTTTAACTCCCTGCTTCATAACTATTACTAGTTTATAGTGGTTACAAAAATGCAATGAAAAATAGCTTTTCAACCTCCTGCTATTTTTATAGTGTAACTGTGTAAGGAGTTCAAAAATAAGAACGGCAGTTTATACAACAAACGATTTGCAATTTTGTTATATAAAAGTTAAATAAACGAATTTACAATTTACCGATGGTAAGTGGCTCTGAAGTCAATGGACGCCTGTCTGACGGCTTACGAACTTAAAAGTTCAAATGGAGAAGGGTATAGATGCGTTGTCACTTCTGAAGATCAAGAGTAAGATGGAAAGCCTCACACAGCCTGTATGGCTTTCCATGTCCTTGAGAGGATCATATCCATACCATTTTTTTTAGAATAAGGGTGACAAACGAGCGCACAGTCCATCTGATGGTAAGTGGATGCTTTGACCCATAGACATCTTCATTTATCCTCGATTAAGAATCAAAATGGAGATGCGTTGTTACCCCTGAGGACTACGATGGAATGTCTCTTTTCCTGTGAAAAGGGTCTCCAGTTGTATACACTTACCATACGACACACAGCAACATTAAGCTGCTATTTGACGCTGGTATTCTGTAAGAGCGTGGTCCTTGCCCGGTCGAGTCGACCCATTCGCGCTCCAACCATAATATAGCTGCAGATCGGCTCTACTATGTATGAATGACCATGTAGAGAGTATGACCATCTAGTAAACATTTTAACTTCTTAATTAAAATGTAGATGCCAAAAGTACATTTAGATCACTCGCGAAGTAGAAATTAGGCTTATATTTCATTGCAGGTCTTTTGAAGTCTATGGGAATTGTAACCGTCTTCAAAAACATTTTCACAGGTGCGTTGTGTCATCCCTGAGAACTAAATAGAGATTCCTCACAGCCTTGCAACTATACTAGCTCTTTATATCATTCAAAACGGAACGTCATAGTGAAGTCACTTCTGCTTGACCACAGAAATAGGTATGAGGGTAAATAGCGTTTACCCAGACCCGATCCTAAGCAAAACAGATGCCTGCCTGGTGATAAAAGTCGTTCATCACGCACATGTTTCAGGCTCTGATAGATTCATATGCAACTCGGCTATCCGATCGCCGTTGATTCATTATAGACACGATAAATTCAAGAAGTAGTTATGTACAAGTTCTTTTGACATTTCAATCGGAAGATAATAATGTGTGCGCTGCGTTGCTAAGTTGCCAAAGGTATAATGGTTCATAAGGTGATGGTTTTTACTTTCAAGACTTGGAAGGAGCCTTCCCACATAGAAAAATTAGCTATTTATGTTGCTACAGAATGCACAAGAAACAGAAAACCGTTTCGTAACTATTAGCTGCGATAGATTAATTAGTTTGCAGCGTACGAAAAATAAAAAAATTAACACGAGCAAAGAAGGCAATCTAGCAGTGTAATCAGTACACAACACGACGAAGAAGGTCAAACAAAGTTGGTCGTATTTTTATTTTTCCGTCTTGAGCTTTTTAACATGAGAGAGGGGCGTAATAGAAATTCTTTTCTTATATTCTTTACGAGATAAACTTTTTACTTATTAAATTAAATTTATTATATAATGAAAAAAAAATTATATAATGCACTTGACATTTTTAACATTACCTAGTAACAGGCAGTTTTTTCATTTCGTTGCTGTTGTTTAACTATATACAGTTACGAAAAACTATGTAATATATTATTTTTGTAACATATATTTCATCACAAGTCTACTGCTGAACATAGTTGCCCCAGGAATTGCCACAAAGCACGGTGGTCGTTCATTCATAGACTGCCTAGTAAGCAATATTAACGAGTATATATACTTCCCATAGTTTGTCTTTAAAACTGAAAACTAATCATAGGCCCTATCTAACGTCATAACGTACGTCGTAACGTCGTCATCATCTTTATATCCTATCAAAAATTATACCCGCCGCCCTATAGGTATTATTTTGATTTATATTGCCTCATATTTGTCTTTGTCATTTGCACGTTTGGCAAGCGGACTTGGCATCCTAATTTTTTTAGTTGTTATTAGGAAGACGCTACAGCCCATCTCCTGTTAAATTTCCCTTTGTCGTATCTTACGACACCCACGAGATGACACGGGTTAGTGATTTCTTTTAGGCCGCCACCATATGGCCTAAGTAATAGGTCATCCTGTTTAATTTTAACATATTTTTAATTCTTGACAATAGGGTACTTCCCAGTTCCCAACACCCGTCCATGGTCATGAGAGGACTGAAGTATTCAATATCCTGGTGGCCTAGTAAAACCTGCATACCATCAGCTTTTAAATAATACCTTCTGTTCGGACCTACTCCGAGCGAGCTTACAGTATTTTGATGCCTTGCAATGGTATACTCGCTGAGTTACCTAGGTCCTAAGTAATGGCGTCGCTTTGAAAGATAAAGGGAAGAATTGTCAAAAACTACTTCTTTCGTTTTCACGTTTAAAACCTACAAATCTTACATTTCATTTTTGTTTTGAGATTTTTACTTTTATAAGTGAAGAGCAAAAAATAAAGATAGATAAATGTCAAAAAATTGACATACATAGTGTAATACAATGAATTAACGCACCGGACGTACCTCATCAATCGAACCTGTACCACGGAATAAATAATAGTACTGCGTACCTGTACTGAGTAATTGAATGATCAAGAAACTTCATTTAAAATGCCTGCGTAGGGTAATTAACTTGCGTGTCATCACTGGTGTCTGACACGCGGGTCAAAGGTTCGCCATTACTGCTCTAGATGTAGTATTTGTTTTATTTTGTCTGTGTCTACTACAGATCGTACAATTACTTATACCTACTAGTTTTAAATTAAATAGGATTATATACCGATACAATATTCTGATATTAGGTTTTGAGTGACGGGTTAAGCAAAATTTCGAATTACTTACTACCTATTATATAATCTGTGGTCCTACTTGCACATAATTTTCAATTATAAAATATTTCGAAATAATAATTTAATTTATATAATTTTATGCATGTAGTACCTTTAATTTTATTGCTCGATCTTTCTGGGTTTTATTTGGAAAGGCAAGAAAACAGTATGATGCATAATGAATCTGAATTACGCAGAATTACGGCATTATGTTACTTCTAGGTTTACTTTTTCTTACGCCCCTAATTTTATATAATAACTATGTTTAACAACTCTACATTACAGTTGTTAGAGGTTTGTGGTATTAAGGTTTGAGTAACATAATAGCACAGAATACATAATAGCACTATCTAATAACAGGGTGTAGACACTCGTGACAATTGAAATATTTTTTTATAAACTGTTAAAACGAGTTGAATCCGTCGATTGACCTCTCGGTCGAAGTTTGACTTACCTAGTTGGACTATTTGTCCCAGGTAAACGTACTCGTCAACAACTTCGAGCATAGTGCTCCCAACAACTACCGGCATAGGTGTGACATGGACATTAAACATGATCTTTGTTTTGTCCATGTTCATCTTAAGACCTATCCGTTGGGAGACACTATTGAGGTCATTGAGCATAGTGCTTAGGTCCTACAGCGATGCTGCCATAAGGACTATATCGTCGGCAAATCGAAGGTGAGTGATGTACTCGCCATTGATGTTAATACCGTATCCTTTCCAGTCCAGTAGCTTGAAAACGTCTTCCAACGCAGCGGTGAAGAGTTTCGGGGATATAACGTCACCCTGTCTTACACCTCTCTGCAGTTGGATAGGTTTTGAACTCTGGTTCTGTACTCGGACAGCCATCGTAGCCCTACTGTACAAATAATTCAGCACTTCGATATACCGACAGTCAACTTGGCACCCCTGAAGGGACTGTAGCACCGCCCAAATTTCGACGGAATCAAAGGCTTTCTCATAGTCCACATACGCCAGGCAAAGTGGCAGATTGTACTCTTCGGTCTTCTGTACAATCTGCCGCAGGGTATGTATGTGGTCTATGGTACTGAAGCCTTTTCGGAAACCGGCTGGTTCGGGAGGCTGGAAGTCGTCGAGTCTGCGTGCGAGACGATTCGTAATGACTCTCGACAAACAGCACGTAGACGCGGCTCAGAAGGGAAATCGGTCTGTAGTTCTTCAAGAGAGCGTTGTCACCTTTCTTAAAGAACAAGACCACTGCACTTCTGCTCCACGTCTCCGGAGTAGTGCCACCATGGAGGACGGAATTGAAGTGCTTCTGAAGGACTTTAAGTACCGGTGTTCCACCCGCTTTCAGAAGCTCCGCTGTAATTCCATCCTCGCCTGGGGCCCTGCCGTTTTTAAGGTGCTGGAGAGCCATTCTAATCTCGCTTAGACTGACGTGCGGGATATCATCGGAATAGTGTCGGATAAGACTTGCTCTTGGATCGTTACTCACACTTGCGTGTGGCTCCAACGATGATGTGTACAGCTGCCCATAGTACCTCTCAATCTCACTCAAAATCTCAGGTGTCCCGGAAACGATGCTGCCACACTCGGTCTTCAGCTTTGACAGTTGGCTCTTTCTGGCAGACAGATCTCTGGCAAAGACTTTGGAGCCCTGGTTCCGCTCGATCGCTTCTTTAATACGAGCAGTATTAAAGTTGCGTAAGTCTCGCCGCATGCATTTG